AGTAAGCATACCTTCGCTAAGAGTAGCTTTGGTAGTGTCATGAAGAATTGAAAGTCACAGCATGAAAAGTTGACAGAGTGATTTCAGTATCAGAGTGCTTCCCCACTCTTTCACTGTTTTGTTGTCAACGGAACTTTAAACCACAAAGTTCTTGGATTGATAGGGTATGAATTTTGCTGATCAAGTATCCAATGCCAGATGCCAGAATCTGTGGGCTGTCATACATCTGGTCATACTGGAGATTACGAAAGTAACATACAGCAGTTTAGACAATTTAAGCCGATGAAACCACATCAACCTGTATCAGAAACAAAGATGTAACATATGAATTTTGAATTTCCTCCCAGTTTCACTTCATGACACCATCTATTTTATTTGGAGATAATTTGCCACAAAGGTCGTAACCGATGCAACATTCAGCAAGGTCAGATGCTGATTATGGTATCTCATCTGACCATCTTGCCCTCTGCCATGCCTCTCAGCTACTGCATACATGAAGTTAATCCTATGTTGTCAAGAACAGGCTGACCTTTCAAAATAGCCGTTGCACGTCCTATGAAGAGCCCCGCATCAGTGCTAATAAAAATTGGCTTTTTTTTCCACTGGAGGTTCGTGCGTGAATATGCAGACCCCAAAACGTGGCTGGAAAATATTACCCGCATTGCTTCATTTTCTTTCTAGGTCTTCCCCCCCCCCCTTTTTTCGCCCCATCATTTTTGGGAATAGCAACTCATGGTCTGATGTTATTCAAGTGTTGGAAATATAAGATTTTTCTTAGGATAGTTTTATTTTTATATTGGTAATTCCAAAAATCAGGGGTCGATTTTTTTTGTTACGTGTCCCTGTCACATCTGACATATGATTTTGCAAGTTCAGGACACATTTTCTTTTCCCAAGAGAGATGAATTAATGCAAATTACTTGCCAAACAAATAGTAATCGTTTGAAAACCATTCTGGTGATATTTCCATGTCAAACAACAAAGGTCAGATGTAACAGGGACACCAAAATGTCACACTTTTGGACCCCTAATTTCTGGAATTACCCATATGACTGTTCCGCAACAGCATCGTGGATTAAGGCAGAGAGACAGAATAATTTATAGAGACCTTTTGATCCTGGCAGCATCATTCAGTGAATGAGAATAAATCGTCTGAACTGTCAGAACTGTATTGGTACAATGCTTTGTCGTGACTTTCCTTCCACGGTGTAAATCAGAAGATTTGGGGGGGGGGGATTATTCCTGATGAGGTAGTCTGGGGCAGTTTAAGGGTGTACCTTCAATATGTGGCAACAGGGTACCTTTTTTAGAATCTTGATGGCGAATCATCTTTTTGCGACATTCGAGGTACTTCTCCTGCTCAAGAGGAATTTTTTGAAATCTCTCTGAAAAGTTGTGAATCTGGAAAAGCAAGCATGTGCCTTAACATTGAATTTTTTCAGTTTGTATTGGAAGAAGGAAATGTTACATTGTACAAAAGATTTTCAAGTTTATTTGGAACCAGAATTTTCCTAAGAATGGCATTTGGATCAGTTTTGTCCTTGAAAAGAAACTTCCTCTTTCTGAGTGGCAGTGTGTCAGATGTTAAGTTAGTTGTGTCAGTTCTTTCCTATAAGTCCATTTACTTGTACTAGGTACCATAGAGGGCTGTGGGGAGGGATAGGGAAAGAATGTGGGAACAGAAGTGAGATTTTTTTGTTAATTTTGTTTATTTTATTGTTGCAGATTTTCCTGTTATGATAAGGTAATGAGCACAGCCTTCCGAGCCAGGGACTTCTCATTGTATGATTGTCATTAATTTGATGATGTTTGCTTGCCTAAATATTGATTTGGACAAAAATTCTTTCGAGCCGAGTCACAAATCATTGTCTGGTCTCACCCATCTTCTTTCTTTCCCCCTTCTTTTCTGACGTACCATCCCTGACGAAGCGCAGACCCCTCCAATTTTGGCCTAATTTCCTCCGTGCTAACCGCTAATAATGTAAACTTCGTAGATCGCCAAACCCTAAATAGCCCAAGGGTCGGCATAAATTCAGCCCGCGGCTTGTTTCGGCCTGGGCAGATGATGACACATATTACCACTTTGCATCTTGTTGTCTTTGGATTTTTCCTCTCTCTCTCTTTCTCTCCTCCTGCAAGAGATAATATTTAGAGAGGAAACCCAGCATCCAGATTTACTAAATGCTCAGCATTCTGGCAGCTCTTGAATTTACTGATCCTCGCTGGAACTTTTTCTTTCTTTCTTTTTTTCTGTCTTCTTTTCTCACAAGCTGTAAATCTGGTGGTGCCAACCGGCCTGGTTTTGTGGGAGCCTCCATCTAGTAAGGAGGAGGATAGGGAGTTTGTTTGACAGTAGGGGTAGTAAAGACCGGATGGGTTTTCCGAATAATCATAAATTGTCACCAGCTGGAGATACTGCACAAGTTCAGCACTTCCTTTCTGGCCAGGTGGATAGAGTATGTCGTGTTACCTTCTTGGGGCTAGAGGGGGGCTGAAGATTTCTTTGCACCATTTGTGAAGAAAGGTTTAACATTCAGTTACAGATAAAAACAGCTTGTTAATGAAATCAATCACCAAAGAGGTGACCACCGGCTTTTGAATTCAGTCTCGACAGATTTCATTGTTGGACATACTTCTTGCTGTAATTTTCATAGTACAGTTGCATTTGCTTCATTTTTTGTGGTCACTTGGATTAGAATGTTTAACTGTAAAATTTTTTTACCTTATTGGGTCAGCTGACCCCAATGACAGGTCACTTGACCCAGAACCCATCAAGATCACTTTACACCCTGTTAGCTTGGAGTTCCCATAGTCCAGTTGTTTATTTATTCCCAAGGTGAAATGCAGATCAGTGGTGGACATAGTGGCAATGCCCATCTGGTCTGCCCTATATGCTGCTTTGTCCAAGCTCCTGCAAAGATACCTCCTCTGGGTGCAGTGCACTGATTTTCAAGTGATAAGTTCTGCTGAGCTCATTAACCTGAAAAGCCCCCTCCCCACACACACACACACACAGAGTTTCTCTGGAAAAAGGAGATCCTTTGGTGGAAGTATTGATGGGCTGGTGTAAATATAGGCCAGGATCAACTCCTTGATTTTGGGGCTCCATCCTAGGGATAGAGTTGAATTAGGCTTTGAGTCAATTAGAATAATTGATTATTCAAATGTTCAACCTTCAATTTGATCGAATATACTGTCGTTCTGGCCAGTAGATTGTTGATGAACAAACCATATACAAAATCAATCACAATAACGCACACAATTGTACATTCTAATTACTATGATGACTTCTCACTTTGGACTATCTCCGGCCACAATTTAGCAAAGATTATTGTTGCACTAAAAAATGTTTCTGACACCACAATTTGTGGTTGCCAAGAGACTACTTACAATTTCGTCTGATGCAGCCATCTTCCTCTTCGGACCTCCAGTCATTCAATTTCAAGTTGAAATATTGTCATGAAGGTTTTGTCATTTTTCTTTCTACAAAGTTTGCATCAATACATCATTATCAAAGTCCAAAGAACACTATCTTGGCACATTCATATTTTGTTGTTAAAAAGCTATTTCCATATTCTAGGATGGATTCTACTGTATATTGACTGTTGGGCATATCAGCTGCCTTCAAGTGTCTGGAATCTGCTTGAAACAAGCCTCCATAATGGGATTTTCCTCATTTGAATAAGGGATTCTCCCCTGTATTTTTCATGAAGTTTGCATTGGAATGTTGGGAATTATCACTTTTCAGGGGTGTGAGAATTCAGCCTTTTAGCTAATTTCAGTCCATTTTGGCTTGTTAATTCCAATAGTACTAGTGATTCGTGCCCCCAGCTTCTTAATAAGCTGATTTCAACCTTTTTTCCTGTAATCATCTTGATTAGTATTTTTTTTAGCATACAATGGACATTTTTGACTCTTCAAAATTTGAGCTTTGTAATTATCGTGAGTAGGAGGTAGAATAGACATAAGATCAATGATGATTGAATGGATTTCAAATGAAAGCATGACTGTACTTGTACTTTTGTCAGGCCACTCAACTGTAAAATTTAAGAATAAACGTGCCTGGCATTACACTAGGTCTGTGTGCTTTAGAGTATAGTTGGGGCACAAGGTCTCTATTGGACCATCTGTGTTGAAGAAGTTCAAGAGACTTTGCAGCAAGGGCATTAAATTTCTGAAAGGGAAAGTGGAGGAAAGGGCAGGAGTACCACTCATGGGCTTTTGATGTGGCAAGGAGTCAGGAGTTTGGGGTGGGGAAAATAGTAGCTGTTACAAAGAGGAGAGAGGTGACCACGCGTGAAACTTTGGGAGGGCGAGTGGTGTGATCGTACCCATGAACTGTGGTGAACACTTGTCAGGAATTGCTCAGGGAGGGTTCCGGACAGTTTCTTGGCTTAATTCTCAAAGTCAGTTTGGAATGATTCTAAAACACAGCTATTTGCTTACCAGCCAAAATCACAGCTTTGAATTGTGTTTGTTAATAATTCCTTGATTAGGTAAGGTCTCCAAGGGAAAAACGTGGTGCCTTGCAGGCTACACTGTAATTTCTCTTTTCCTTGTTCATTGTTTTGTCTCCATCCCTTGCCGCCAAGACTGCTTTTTCTCTGAGCTCCTTTTCCCCTCTCTTCAACTGGACATGTCATGTCAATTCTAATTTCCTTATTGAGGAAGTCAGTGTTCTTCCTTGACAATGGCGAGTCACCAATTACCCAAATGTTTATCAGGAAGAGCAGGAGTTGCTTTCACCAAGATCAATGTTTTATCTCCCCTCCATTGCACCTTTTAGATTTGGACTTGTTAGTGTTTATTTTCTATTGGATCAAGGTTCCCTATTTCTAAAAAATACTACTAACTTTAAGGTAGCAGGTTATCCGGAGCCAATGCCAGCTCCCCACTTAGCCCGAGAATGTCGCGTCGTAGGATTTCCATGGTGAAGTCTTGATTTGATTGCATCTAAATGGGGATTTTTGGTTTTTCTTTGATGCCAACTTTCTTTGCAGAGTGCCGGGAAAGTTCTTGTCAGACAGTGTTTCAGAGTGAGACACCAGTGGCTCTGTGGTACCGGACATTTGGAGCATAAATGGACGGGGTGGTGAAATCTTGCTCCATCCGCCTTTGGCCAGCGTCAGTACTCACCACCGCCACCATTATCACCATGATAATCATCATTGTCGTCATCAGCGTCTTCATCACCAGGCCTTTGTAACGGATCCACCTGCAGTCCTGCAAGGCTATCTAACGCAGCAACCAGAGACAGAGATAAATCAGACACGCAGCTGCGTAGTGATCATCTTGAGTACATTGCATCACTGAGTATCTCCCACTGAAAACAGAAAACTGGCTACATGTAGGTCACAGATGACTGGTAACAAAAAGCTGGAAAACTCAGCTACTGTCCACCCCTCCCCAATCACCCCAGTTTTGTAGGTGAGAGGGTTGCAAGGTTTGATCCTCAAAGTCTTCTCTTTTTTCATCCCCAAAACTTCACGCTCGATTTCACTCCCAATTCTAAGGCATGGCATTATTTTGAAGACTCACAAGATCCTGCATATTGAAGTGAGCCACAAGCCACCCAAAATGGTATCAGTTGGAGGCCAGAAACGATGCCTTGAGCCCTTCAGATTTGAAGAAAGTTTCTGCCACAATCACACCCTTGTTAAAATAGATTTGTAGAAGTGTAGGCCAGTAACACGGATAAGGAAACCTGTGCTCCTAATGAATTTGTGATGAAAAATTTCCTCTTTCCATTCCTACTCATTTTTGCAGTGCCAGGATCCAGTTTTACTGTGGAGTGTATATAGCCAAACTGAAAACTTCAATCTGCCCAGAACCACTCACACAATTTGTGCTGTTGTTCATTTTTGTTTCCTTGAAGTGAAACCTGTCTGCCTTCAGCGAATTCATGCGCTCCATTGCGCCCATTAAGTTTTGCAAACAAATGTTGTGTTGTTGTAGCATAAAATGACACTCGGGCCCACAAAATCAACTTTAATATTGGTGTCATTTGAACTTGGAGTAATCTCTCTTTCCCAGCTAAAAACCGCGGGCTGTTTGGCCATTTCGTGCAGAACCATTCCCTTGGCAATGCCACCCACACACCACTGGAATACCAGTTACCGGCTCTTGTTACTTTTGAGACTGGAATCCAGTACTACAACGTTTCTCAGACCACACTTGTGTTACTGTGGGTGTGTGGTTTAAGAGGTGATGATGACCACTTTGCATGAATGGTTTGAATGTGACCACAGACTTCAAAAAGCATTTTAGACAAAGGTCACTGCCACTCATCAGAACGGCTACATTATTAATCAGTTAATCAATCACAGTGTTTTTTCCTGTAAGGCAGTTGGTCTAGTCGGGTACCTAAGTGTGATTTTTTTAATAGGTTTAAACATGGGCACATCTTTGGAACCAGACTGAATAACGAAAGTCACTCTAATCTGAAATGAAAAGAATGATTTTTTTCCGGAATATTTGATTTGTAAGTAATTTCTTTCAACAGGAAATGTTGTTCCTCTTGTTCAACAAAGGTAGGGACAGTGATGCCATGTGCTAGCTGGTACTATCTTCCATTCCGCTCAGCTTATTAATGTCTGTTACTTCCTGGCCACATATTTTCTCAATCAATTTTGTTTCCTGTTTTCCATTTAGCCATGAAAATTCTAACGGTCTTATCTCCAGGTGACAAATCCCCAACACTTACAGCAAATCTCTTCCCGAATCACCCCAACCAGTTTCCCAGAATCTGGGTTGATTGACACGCTGTTTGTGCCTTAAGCATCCCTAATATCTTGTGTGCACTACATGCGCTAGTAATCATCCTGCGATTGTTTCTCTAACCCAGATGTTTTTTTTAAGGTCGTTATATGAAAAGGTGCTCCCTTGCTTGGTGATATGATCCACTTGGTCACTGCACAATGGTTTGAGCTTATGCTGCTTAGGTAAAGACAGAAAAGCTCCTCAGCTTGGACGAGTTTAGGAGTTGCACTTGTTGTGGACCGCTAAATTCACATTGTGTTTGTTGTTGGTAAATAATTCTTTGGTGGGGTCTTTTTCCATCATCCCTCCACTTTGAGAAACGGTGCTTGACCCTGTCATTAAGCATGTTATATCAGAGCCAGCAACGGGTACCAGACCCAGCTTGGATCCAGCCCGTTGATTTGCAGCCCTCGCGGAAAAAGAAAATCTTAGTCCCTGCACCATCGTGAAAAGATCAAAGGGTTGAACAACTCTCTGAACTCTGCGCAACCTTCCTGGCCGTCGTTTGAAGTTGGGATGATCTGCCGACAAAAACTGTTTCACCGATCAGTAATGGTCAGAGGTGTTGGTTGGGTCCCAGACATTGGCACAGCTGGCTCCGCGGAGAAAGATCAAATTTGAACTAGCCCCCAGAATGGATATTAGATGGACTTCAGTCTGTCTGCCAGACAGGCATCTCTTGTCAGTGTTCAAGGAAATGATTTGTGGTGCCCAGATGTCATGAGCTTGGTGTAATGTCATCACATATATCAATAAAGTGAATGGCGTTTCTTATTTCTAAAGTGAATCAATGGAAGATGAATTACGCCTACATCCAGTGATTTTGAAAGTTTAACTTTTGAGAGAAAGAAGTGATTGACTTCTCCCCCTTTTTTTTAATGTGACTATTCATTGTTCTGCACTGTTGAAACTTTGTACAAAGTAACATTGTCATGATAAATAGGTAACTAGTGCCTCCGTTTGACTGACAGAAGATATATTAATTTAATAAATACGGAGGTCTGTTTGTTTGTTTTTCTGATTTGTTTTAGGGTTTTTTTTGTACGTTGTGCAGATGATAGTTACAAAAGTGAGAATTCAAATACGCTTTCTTCCTCACTTTTCTTTTGATATGCTCTACCCCTGTTGCTTGGCTTTGAGTTAGAAAATGACATACATGATTTCAGATGTATTTTTTCTTTGCTTTCGGTTGGCTCTTGCATGTACATGTAGCTGACTGATAGTTTGAAGATTTCATTCACGCTAAATATTTTTTGCTTACTGCTTGCATATGTCATCTGGGGCTGGGTGCTGTCTCACTCTTCAGAAAACGCCACCATTGTGGTGATTTCCTCCCGAGTTCATCAGTAGTTGAACAAGGAACCCTCCTCCATATCTTTTTACGAGCTATGCCTGTAAGTCACCGGGCAAAATATTCGGACACACTGAAAGATGAGGAATGTTGCAAGCACATTGGGCATGTTTGGAGACAGTGGTGCCCAGAAATTTTTCGGAAGGTCTTGTTATTTTAACAGCTGCAATCCCAGGCCCTAGTTTCTGTTGTTGAGTATGTCCCAGTTGGGAATGCCGTTTTCTGACGATGAGATTTGGAGGTTAAAATGTAGAAGCTGTAACAAATTAAAATGCATTATTTTTTTATATTCAGTGAAATGTTCAAATACTGCACTGATAAAGGCGATTCGCAATGGTGGGCCTCCAAAAGATCGCAACTCGTTGACAAATTATAGTACACGAAATCTGTCGACCCTTTCCAAATGCGCATTGGGTCGACAGGTTTCGCGCACTGTGATTGGTCAATGCATTGCAAACTCTTGGAGGCGCACTATTGTGAATCGCACTAATTAATCACAGTCATACCTCAGATGCTGTCAGACGTGAGAAGTTTCTACTTTACTTAGCCAGGAACAAGGAAAATCACAGAGTAAATGTGGGTGATGTAATTTATCCTGAGAAATATTCAAGAAGACGAAAAATCACAAAATGTTGTAAACTGAATAGTATCCAATGCTGTGTGGCAACATGATTTGTTCACATACTTGTATTTCCAACATAAGGTCATTAACGTGTAATGTACACACATCATAGCCAGAACAGAACTGCAGAATGTTAGATTTATGTACATGTACATGTATACCGATTCAAATGATGAATTAAAAGTCTGATACCGATTTCAACCCAAGAGCTGGTCTCATTCATTTTGGTAGTGTCCTTAGTCATCTTTCCTTGTCATCTCAGTGCCAGTGTCCTGCAAACTTGTTACAAATGATACAAACCATTCTTTGCTTCGGAAATATAAAATTTCTTTTAAAAAATATGTTTGGTCCCAAAACTCACTGGCGTTAACTCCTCAAAAGTAGTTCAATCTCCTCCCTCTCCAGATCAAATCGATTGTTCTCAATGTTTGATCAAAGTGCCATTGCATATTCTAATTACATCTATCATCTAGACTTTTAAAAATGAATGGCTCTGCTACAAGAGGAATTTAGCTTCCTAAATTGCACAAGTTGTGCAACTGAATTCCTTTTAAGAGGTACTATTTCATGGTTGCTATTTCCTGTGCCACTGGACAGGAACGTTTGGTTGCAGAAGAAGAACTTGTTTGCATCAGAACATAACACAGTTTCACAACTGATTCTGTTTGATATATTGCCTCATTTGTGGGACATGTGATGCCGAGCAGTCTAGAACGATTTCCTGATTTAAATTGCATCACCTCAAACAAGACACAATTCTTTTCAATAAATGACCAGCCTAACGTATAGCATTTCAAAATGGCACTTACTCTGGAGAATGGATATGGTATGTGCGAACACTTTCGATAATGGTTTGCTTGAAATACAGACCCTGATGTACATGTAAACATTCTCAAGTAAATCCCATCCTCTACTTGACAGTAACCTCAGTCCATCAAGTGAGCCAACTATTTTACATTTTCAGAATTCAGTTTGATTAATTGTGTGTTAACTTGCTCTGAAGAGGCATTTCAAAATGAGTCATTCACAGAGAATTATCATTCAACCTGAATTTAAATGAAAATCAAGTAAGACGAGGCAACCATGTGTGCTTAACAAGACAGTGATGAGATCTCTACACTTGTTCCTAGGAGTTTGAAGTTCATTTCTCTCCCAGGTAAGCCTGTGACTCGTTATGTACATCACAGGCAGGGTGAGTGAACTTGGAGTTGCTTTAATGAAACAGCAGTGAGTGAAGAGCCAGAAATTGCTTTGACAGAGTGACCATTTCTTGTCTCTCAGTGCATTTTGAGCTACGGGTTTCCGCTCCAATGCTATTGCTTCAACACCTCAATCACTTGTTAAAATAACAGGTGTGCTATAATTATACTAATGAGTTATCTCAATTTCTACTTTTTTTTCTTATTGGTTGCCGGCATGATTAAAGTAGGCTTGATAGCTGGGATCAGGTGTTAATCAACTTTTAATGGTCATTTTAGGGATTTTTTCCCCACAAACTGAAATGGTTCTTGAAGGCTGGTTTCAGTATCTGTCCATTTCACAATTCACCTGAAATTGCCCATTGTGCCAAAGTCACAAACCTTTCTAAAGGTACGCATACCAATTGACACTTGAAGTAGGTTTTCCCAGGTTTCAATTCTATTGTACTCAGACAAATGATCTTTGTATTCAAATTTCGGGGAAAAAAATTGCCAGAAATATAATAACATTTGGCACCTGGTTAAGCACTATTGTAGCTTCACAAGTTTTGCCCTTTTTGGAGCATTTTAGAAACTAAGATCATCGTCCACACACACATTTCCTGAAAAGCACATCTCCAAGTAGCTTTAATTGTCCATACAAATGGTAAGGCATGTCTTTATGCCTAATACATGTACCAAATAATGGCCAGAAGTGGCCCTAATGGAAGGGCAACTCACAATGGAATGTCATCTTGTGGTTCATTACTCTGAGCACTCCATTGCAGTTTTTTCATCGCTGCAGTAGGCGATGATAATAGGCAGCATGCATGTAATCATGAAAGCTAGTGTGTGGGAGATCTGCATGGGAACATTCGGCACAACCACTTTTCATCTCAATGTGCACATCCAATTTTTATCTCGGTGTACACGATTTTCATCACAATGGGCACAACCGATTTTCAGCTGTATTGCACACAACCGATTTTCATCTCAATGTGCACATCCAAATTTTATCTTAGTGTGCATACATTTTTCATGTCAGTGCAATGTGCACATATACTTTCCATCACTAGGGATATCCAATTTTCAGCTGAATATACACAGCCAATTTTCAACTAAATGTGCACAAGCTCCTATTATCTTCATGTTAAGACTACTGTTGTACGTGTAGATCTGCACCTAATTGTTTAAGAACTTACAACACTCACATCCCCTGCAGTTGCTCTCTTTGTTCCCTTTTCAAAACTAATTGCAAGAGAATGTGTTTCAACAACACAGTTTCCCTTTGAAATCATCAAAGCTGACACATCACATTAGTTAGCACTGCTTCGTTGTAACATACGCCTCAACGCAATAGCCTGTGGCAAACAGCAATTTATTTTTGACTGGCCTTATCAAAATATGATATTCAGTGACATGATATATGAGATATGGTGCCCCAAATGCTGTGTGTCGTGTGCCAGGCACACGCAGTCTCCCCGTGCAGGCATGGCGCTTGCCAACACCACCCCCACTAGGCCGGTAAGATGGCCCATGTTCCAATGCAGTCCTTTTCTGGGGGAAAAAAAATGTAGAGAAATATGCCACATGCTCATAAAAGGAGTCGTGAAAATGATGGCAGACCTCTGTTGTGCAATTGTTCTGAATAATATAGGCATTTGTTGGCCTTTCCTACCATGCTCAACCTGCACACCCTGGGCTTGATGGAGTGTAGACGGAAAATGAGTGTAGTTAAACAGTAATTAACCAAATCTGGCTGATCAGAATTCTGCACGTTGTGAACGGACAGTTGAAGTTCTTCCGCTGTTTCTAATGAAGTTTAGTTTGTTATCCACCAATCCCAACTACAAAAGTTTTATGTTCATCAAATTAAATCAGCACAGTAATAAATCAGTAAACATGTCATGCCTCAGAAAACTGTGTAGACTTATTTGGGATTAGTTTAAAAATTGGGGTTTGTGTGTATGTATTACTTTTGGAATTTTCGTGAGATAAAATTCCAAGCTTAACTAGTATACAGTTAAGGGCAACCATAAGCATGGAACTGCCTGCTTAGCATATACCAGAGATGTAGGGACTGGTGAGCACAGGTCACTCCTGGTTTTCATGCAGACACATTTACTACGAGTGCCCTTGACCAGACCTTCAACCGCTTTGCTTTCCACCCTCCCCCCCCCCTTTCTCTCTCTGTCAGTCACAGTGATCCCCTCTCAACAGCATACCGGTACCTTATCACGCACATGCAAGCTAGCCTATCAAAAGTGCTAATGAAGCAGGTTACCAGGTTGAAAAAAAAACCAAGTAGGCACAGTGAATAATTCATCACAATTATCTTTCCTGATTGTTATGCAAATGTATTCAAAAACCAGCCCAATCCAGGTGGAGCCACTCCATAACACAAACTGAGGTTTTTAAAGTGAAATACTTGTACACGTGTACGTTCAGCAAAATGTATAAGAAGTAATTAATGTGGCTGGACTTTGGTCCTTGTCAACCGAGAATGAAAACCGACAAAAGCACAAAGTACATTTTGTTTCAGCTAATGAATGTACATGTATAGATTTATTTGTCAGCCGAGTTGCGTGACCACGATGCTTTTCAGCAATGCAGTTATCTCCTGTGGTGTGTGTACTTGGCTGTGGGCACTACTGCGCCAGGATGATACTTGAAGGGAGGAGTTAGCTATCCAAAAAAAGAGTGTGATGGAGACAATCTAAGGATGTTCCTTTAAAATATGAAATAAATTTGTGGAAATCGAAAACCAGAAGCCTGTGTGACACTGAAAATTGTATGTTTTTCTACCCGCATGACCGTTCACTTTATCTCCAGTTGCATTTCCGGGGACAAATGGGAGCTCTCTGTTTCTCACCAAGGGCTATTTTGGTTGAGGTAAGAGGCACATGTACTGTGCCTTGAGGTTGTCATTGTTTCTGATTTGGGCTTGTATGTATGTGTGTATCAACTTATACCTAGTGTGGACCAAGGAGCAAAAGCGGTTCCTGTAATGCAGGTTGTGACAAAACCTTGTATCAACTAGGCCGGTTCACACAAGATTTCATCCTACAGGTATTTGAAAAACAGTTTTTTGTTATTTGTAGCAAAAGAAAGAACAGTCAAAGAAAACATCAACAAAAAATCGAGCTGGTGAGAGTATTCACAGTGCCAGAAAACTAAGCATTTTCAGTGAGATTTCTTACCTGTGCAACAATAGGGAGATGTCCTTCCTAGGTAGCAACGTAAAGGTATGCATGTATATATTGGTGTGTACACATTGAAATGGTGAACATTGAATAATGGAGTACATAAGGACTTGAAGGTAGTGATCATGTGAAATACACGGGAGGTCTTCAAAAACGTTTGTGTGAACAAAACAGGAAGGATAGAGGTCCATGCATATGCTGACACAGACGTGTGTGAATGGGTAATTTATGGAGTGATCCTTGTGCCTTCATGTCCCAAATGCTAAACATCCAAGTAGAGGGACATAGATTTTTGGAAATAGATGCATTTCTGGACCGAATCACAGAGTTCATGGATAGTCCAGTCTTACCCTTTGTCCATCTAAATTTTCTTCTCAGTAATGATGACAAAGCAATTCCTCATTCCCACTGAATGTGTCACTGGTTCTTCAGAACTGATGTCACTTTGAAGTTCCAAATCAAAGTATTCTAAAGCAAAAATTATGACTGTAGAAAAAGAAGCAGACAGTATCTGTAACATGTCTTAGTACTTGAAAGTCATTGGCCTCCTGCATACTTTCTTGTTCAATGCTCCCGTCCCACCAGTCAACCTTAATGATGGGGTCTCAAGTGTTAATGAGGTTTTGACTTGGTATCTGGGGGCTCATCTCAGCAAAAACTTGCCGCATGTTTGAAATTTCCAAGTACGTTGGTGCTGTCGTTTACCGGCTGAAGTCAGCATGGTGTTGCTTCATCCAGTTAAGCGCTGAATATTTTGGCTGACCAGATTATAACCGGGCAGGGCAATTCTTGTTTCTCGACTGAGGAAGTCCAAACTCGA